TGAACCCAATCAGACCAAATACTCTGCACAGAGGGAGCCCAAGAGCTGATTAAATAAAGTTTACACCCTTTGTGTCACATGTAATGTGTTAGTGCTGTTCTAGAGTATGTCAACACTTAATTTTTTACAAGCCAACTGATGCCCTGAGTTAAGCAGAGAGAGCAGACAAAAGAAAATGTGAACATGTGAGTTATTTACCAGGCTGTCACACTGCCAGTGGAAACCGTGTAGCAGATGAATGCATCTGCTTAATTCACATTACTATTTTCTCTTCATTATTACGCAGATGCTAGCTCTGTGAAGTTAACTGCACAGACATTTTACATCTTTTCCCCTAAAAAAAAAAAAAAAAGCAGTTTTAAATATTTTTGCAACAGGTGTTTCCTGAATCTAAGTTTTTGTCATTTTATTACTACTGGTATAAGTAACTTAACGTTACTTGGATAACTTTTTGTTTGGGCTAAAAGCAAGGTTCGGGGCTCAGTAACACAGCAAGTTTTAAAACCAACTTCAGAGAAGGAAGGAAAATCCTTGTGATCTACCACAAGGGTCCTTCAAAATGTTTAAACATCTACTTGGAAAAAAATCAAACAAGTCACATTCACCTTTAGACTTGCCTGCCACACCAATGAGACCACTCTAAACAGCTTCAAAAGATACAGCCTCTTTGGAGCGATGCTTCATTTAGCATTTTGTTGCTTCTGCCCCAACCAACTCAAACACTTACAGGGCTCAGAATATATATAGAGAGAGAGAAAGAGGAAATGTCTATTTTAGTGTAACGGTTTAAGACATTTATCCACATTTGTTCTAAAACATCTCATTAAAAAAACACAAACATCACTCAACTACAGCTTTGCTCAGCCTCAGCAGTAGCCATCAAATGCTAGCAGTCACCAAGTAGAACTTGCATTAGAGAACAAAGGGGATAAAGCATGATCCCTTCAGAACTGGAGCGACTTAATCCTTTTTAATCCTTCCTTAGCCTAGAAAGAGGAGAACAATTTTATTTCTTTATGAAATCAGGTAACTCTACACACCATACTGTAAATTATATTTATTTTATTTAGGTCAGTGAAACTGCAGCAACCTTCCCCCGTACCCTTAACTCCCCTCAGCACTGACTGCTAGAAAGTCAGTTTTCCAGAGTCATATGCCAGATAAGGGCTTTTTCAGATAACATGTGGAAAAACACTGGCATTCAGTGGTTTGTTGGATTACTGACAATAAAACATACCTAAAAGCAATCCCAGGGAGCACCGCAGGAGCTCAGTTCCTATTCAAAGACAGGCATCAATACATATGCCTTTGTATTTATCTAAGAAGTTCACCTGAAATTTACTGGTAGACCAGTACATTTTCAGAGTAATGGTTCAACAGTTCTACAACAAAATAGTGTTCATGGATAGTCAGTCTTCAATTACAAATGCAATATACAGAGCATTTACTATGTAACCGGAAAAAGAAAGTAATATAATGGTTTCTGAAGTCGAAAAACATTTTGAAGAACATTTTTTTTACACCACTGAAATAAACGGGGAAATTAGATAGTAAATTTGTTCCTCTTGAACAAAAGTTTAATCAAAACTCATTAAAAGACATTGTGAGAATTCACTGCCACATGAAAGCATGGCAAATACTCCTCTTACCTAACCTCTAAGTGAGCTTCCCCAGAGCTGCAGCAAAACACAGCACTGCAGGACATAGCTCAGTTAAGCCCTCTCCAAGTTGAAGTATGACTTTATGCTGCGACATAAAGCACCATGCATCCCACTCTTTAAACCACCAGGACATACTTCTGCATGTACACTATACACAAGCACCTCAAAACATTTCTGATTTGTTTACACAAGTAAGAATTATCACATTTCAACAGACTTGCCCACCCCAGCCTTTAAACTTCTGAGCAGTAGTGTAAGACTGTCATGTTCCTTAGTGATACGTCAATTCATCCCATTTGGCTAAGCAATTCCAAAATGAACTTCAAGTAACATTTAGTAACCAAATGTTTCAGACTTAAATCAGTTGGATTAAGAGGTATGGTGCTTTTTTCTACAAACCTCAACTTTTTAAGCTGTCAAACTTATGCTTCTCAAACACGCAAATTATTTTTTAACCAAAAAAAGACAAGAAAATAAAATCTGACATGAGTAAAAGGTCACATTAAGTTACTCATTCCTGTTTAATTTTAACTACTTCAAGCATCTTTGAATAATCCACTCAATCATAACTAGCAGCGCAGACAGCTGTTTCTAGCTGTGACACCGTAACTAAAGCATTGCTGAATACAACAAGAATATTGGCACAAGGAAGGCAGGACACTCCATTGGTTAGTGTTGCAAGCCAGTGAGAATAACTACAAACTAGAATTAAAGACAAACAGAAAAGCAAAACAGTTTGCTACCAAGCCCAGAAAAAAAAAAAATTTAAAACATAAAAGGAAAAGGTGCTTTGCAAAATACTGGTATCAAACCAAAAAAGGTAAATTTCCCAAAGCATGCATTTTGCCCCTGAATCTGCAAGGGGAGATCTAGAAGATGAATCATTAAAAGAGAG